AGAAGAGATCATGGAACAAGGGATAGCACTGCTGATGTTATATGGATCTTGTCTGAAAGTAGAGAATACCAGAAAGATGTTTACTTGTGTTTTACTAACTATGCAATGGCATTTGACTGTGGAAATCATAACAAAATATGGATAACATTGAGAAAAATGAAAATTCCAAAACACTGAAATATACTCATGTGAAGTCTATACAGATCAAGAAGCAGGTGTCCAAACAGATGAAGGGAATATTGCATGGTTTAAAATCAGGGAAAGTGTCCTTTAGAGTTGTATCTTTTCTCTGTACTTATCCAATCTGTGTGTTGAGCAAATCATTCAAGAATCTGGACTATATGAAGAAGAATGTGTGGGAGAATTGGAGAAAGACTCATCAATAATATTTGTTATGTAGGTGATACAACTTTACTTGTAGAAAGTGAAGAAAACTAGAAGTCCTTAAAGAAGAAGATCAAAGAGTACAATCCTCAATATAGATTACATCTTAACATCAGAAAACAAAACAAAAAAAATCCTCATTACTGGACCAATAAGCAACAACAAGAGAGGGAGAAAATATTGAAGTTGTTAATAACTTCCTTTCACTTGAATCCACAGTGAACACCCACTGTATCAGTAGTCAAGAGATTTTATTGGAAAAATATGGTGTCAAGGGCCTCTTCAGAGTGCTAAAAACTAAGAATGTCAGTTTAAAGCATAAGGTGCAACTGATACAAACCATAATATTTTCAATTGTTTCCTATGCATCTGAAGGTTTGATAATGAATAAGGATGACTGAAGAAAATCTGATGCCTTTGAACTGTGGTGTTGAGAAGAGTACTGAATATCATATAAACTGCCAAAAGAGCAAACATGTCTGTCTTGGAAGTATTGCAAGCAGACTATACCTTAGAGGCAAGAATGATGAAACTTCATCTCACATTCTTCGGTGATATTGTCATGAGAGGCCAGTCCTTGGAGAAAGACAGCATGCTGGAAAGGTGAAGAGTTAGAGGAAAAAAAGGAACAAACTAGATCAACACAGTGACTGTAATTATGGGCTAGAGCATATCAGAGAATGTGAAGACGGCGTAGCATAGGGTAGGGTTGAGATCTGTTTCATAGGATCATCGTGAGTTGTAGTCAGTTCAATGGCACGTAACACAGCAACAGCAACATCCATTTAAGCCGCTGGTTGATCTATAGCAGGATTCCCTGGGTGGCACACACAGTTAAAGCACTTGACTACTAATTGGAAGATTGGCAGTTCAAATCCCTTTAGAGACTCCTCAAAAGAAAAGCCTGGGGAACTGCTGGCAAAGGGTCAGTCCTACTCTTTATGCACAGGTCTGCCATAAACAAAGAGCATCTTGCTGGTTTCCGTTTGGTGGGCTTTTTGTTATTGTTATTGTTTTGTTCCTGTTTTTTTTCTCTTTTTTTAAATTAAATTTTATTAGTTTTAATGAACATTGTCAGAGATTTTGGGTTTGCATTCATTCATTGTTGCACTGTTTTGTTCCTGTTTCATAGCATGGTCTCAACATGTGGTAGAATGAATGTTGAATGGCTGAGTAAATAGCCATAGTGACTAATACTGGGAGCTTGTGGTAACAGATCTTGATAACACTCCAGTCTTTTCCTAATTCTGAGCTATTGTCTACCTTTGTCCCAGTGTCCCTGCATACTAATGTATACATGTATGTGTGTGTGGATCCATCATATGGATTTTTATTTTATTACAGAATTGGCTCTCATAAATTTATCAATGAAAGAGTCACCCAAGTCCTATGTCAAATTGTGAGTCACCAAGATTGATAGTCTGTAAAAACTTTATTCACAAAGGGGAACTCACTTCAATAAGAATTTAATGCATATCTAATCTATGCTTAGCACCGTGCTTGATTGAAGAAATATAAGAAAAGTATCTGGTATGAGACCTTCTCTAAGGAACTTAGGGCCTCTCTAAACAACTATGCCAAATACATGAAATCAGACAGAACTCAATCCCTTAAAGAAATGTGTGCCATAGGTAGCTGGTGTTATGAAAACACACAAGAAAGAAGTATGACTTCAAGAAGTTGATGAGACTATCACAAAGGAAGGTTCACGGAGATTGCTGGAGGTCCAGTGAAGTTAGAATGGCATTGCCTGGTAGTTAAAAACTTGGAGATCAGAGAAACATGGGCTTATGTCTTGCCCAGGCTTCCCACTCTCTGCCATGTGACCTCAATCTCTCTAAGTGCCAGGTTTCTTATCTTTAAAGTCAGGGTAATCAAAGGGTTGTGGAGAGGTTTAAGGGCAATAATGCACGTGTATGTGGTGCTTGGCATGATACCTAGCACTTGCGATGGTGATGTTGACTGAATGGAAGGTTGGAAAGAGGTGCTGGCCTAGACTGAAAGACAAGTTCATTTGCAGATGTTCTGAATGATAAAGAAGTCTCCATATAGCCTCAAGAGTCAAATGTGGGAGTTTGGGGCCCAAAAGTAAGAGCTGAACTCTCAAGGCAGTATGAACTCTTTATGGGAAAACAGAACAAGGGCAGAAAGAGTAAAGTCTCTGTACATATGCATGTGCAGGATTTGGGCTGCAGAGATCTGATGACTTTTATTTCCCTTAGTTGACACTGAAGCTAATCTTGGCTTCACTCTTTACATAAGAAACCATCCTTGCACCTCTGTAGTTTCCCTACGCCACTAAGACAAATTGTATTCATCATCACTTAGCTTCTACTGACAGTCAAATTTGGAACCAAAAGTGTAGCATTCAATCACTAGTACAGTGCCATGCTGAAGTAAGAAATCACCAGAATTGGCAAAAGACTCATAAGAAATTATTCATTCATAGCTATCAGCAAAAAATGCACTGAGTATCTGTAACAGGTCTGGCTCATATAGTTAATAACTGTATAACAGTAAAGATTAATAATTCACCATCCCTCCCTTCAGGAAGACAGGTTCATAAACAAACAATTACAAGCCCCAGAGTCTGGTCTACTAGAGAACGTTGAAGTGCAAGGAGACCAGTTTCCTGTGCCGGGGTGGAAAAGTGCCTACTGAGTTATGTTAGCTCATGCTGACACTACCACTGACACTTCAAGTGTCCATTCAGGAAGTTCTAAGGCTGAAGGAAGATTGGGAGGAGGCTTGTTCTCAGCTCTCCCTGATAGTGCTCTTAGCATAAATGTGCCATGCAATCCTCCTGAATCACTCTCCTGTCTCATCTTCCTGCAGTGGCTGCTTTTCAAACCTTCACCCTCACCTCTATTTTGTCCTGTGTCACCTCCACCTACAATCCACTTAGCTCTGCCCACTCCTTGCCCTAGTTTTGTGGCCCTGTCCAGACCTGTCACTAGAGACTTCCAGATACCACTATTGTTTGTGCTTCTCTCCTCCCCATCCCAGGCCGCGTCTAGGGGTGTGTCTCCACCTGGAGAGGCTTTGTGCCGGAGTATAGTATTCAATGATAATGAGAACAATGATAACGAACATGTGATGAATACAATTGGTGTCACTGAATTGTACACATAAAAATGCCAAATGGCAAATATTCTGTTACATATATATTACTCCAATGAAAAGAAGTAACCTCCAGGAAGTACTAAGCAATTAAATGTTTACTGTGAGTAAATCTGTCTTGGGGAAAGTGCAATCAGGGTGCTCCTTACAGGCAAGGATGATGTAGTTTTGCCTCACATACTTTGGGCATGTTGTTAGGAGTGGCTAGTCCTTGGAAAAATATGTCATGCTTAGAAAGGTAGAGGGTCCACAAAAGAGAGGAAGATCCTCAACAAGGTATATAGACACAGCAACTGTAGCAAGGTACTCAAATTTATCAGAGATGATGAATATGGCACAGGGTTCAGATCCATTGTTCACAGGGTCACTCTGAGTCATAGTCGACTCAACAGCATCTAAAAACAAAACATAAATAAATATATTGTCTTTGTAGTTATGTGCTATCGAACTGTCTGCAACACATAGTGACCCTGTGAACAACAGCTCTGAACCTGCCCTATCCTGAGCTAATCTCATTAATTCCGACACACCTACCCCTGTTGCCTCAGTTACTGTATCAATTCATCTCATCCAGGGTTTAAATAAAAAGTATAAATATTTTTTTAAAGTATAAATATTTAAAACCAAACCAAAAGACAGTAGTGTATGCAAAAACTCTTGAAAACGTCCATACTTTTTAACTTAGTCATTTTACCTCTTGGAATATGTCCTAAGGAAACAAATAATTACCTGCTAAAATATTCATCACAGGATTCTTTCTAATGGAGATACATGGAAAACAATGAAAAATAACTGCCAGTAGAAACTTTGTTTTGTGAAAGTTATGTAACAATAAGAAAAATCTTGGATATACAGTAAAGTGAAAACGCTGACATGCTGGCCTGTGTTCACAGTACTCAAGTAGACTCAGTTTAAGAGCCCAGGCTTAGTAATGAGACTACAATCTGAGTGCCAGCCTATGTGGTCACATACTACTCTAATTCTTCACCTTTAAAAGGAGGATAATGACAACATACTTTGGGCATATTGCCAGGAGGGGCCAGGGGCCAGTATTTGGAAAAAGACACCATGCTGAGAAAGAGTGACACGATGGATTGACACAGTGACTGGAACAATGGGCTCGCACATATCAGAGGTCGTAAGGATGGCGCAGGATAGGGCAAGATCTCTTCATAAGACTACTATGAGTTGTAATTGATATGGTGGGAGAACTGACTTTCTACCCTCTCTATTGGTTCTGGGAGTGCTTGTTGAACAACAAGCATTCTAACCTTTGCACTGAATGTCTCCAACAGGCTTCAAGGAAAGGAACATAGGAAGATAGGGAAAGAGCTTGGAAATGTCACCAGCCCAGTGCCCCAGGGAGCTCCTGACTCGTCCTGCAGATGCCAATGACATCCCTAGGGAATGATGTCTCTTTGTCTAGAGCTCAAGCCCAGGAAGCCACAGAGCTCTGGAGAGCACAGCCCACAGCATGTTTTTCTGCCTTTCTGCAGTGATGAGGTGCCTGGGGATCCCCACCCGTGTGATCACCAACTTTGACTCTGGCCACGACACAGATGGGAACCTGATCATAGACGAGTATTACGATAGCACAGGCAGGATTCTGGAGAATAAGAAGAAGGACTCTGTCTGGTGAGAGACACCCTCCCAACTTGCTTTCTAGGGTCTCAAGTTAGAGCCAAATCCCATTATGTGGGCCAACCCAACGGCAAGCTGTTCAAATTTGCTCTGCAGGGAAAAGATTGGCAATCTTTCCTTGTGCTATTTACAACCTTTGAAAACTCCCTAGAGGGTCAGCCATGAGTCAACTCTGACTCAAGGGCATATAACAACAACAACAACAACTGTGTGTATGAGCCTGCTGCTCCCTCATCTCCTACGTCCTCAATGCATCCTGCAGCCCTTGTGCTTGGTGTCCCCAGTGTTAAGGCCAAGGGGTCTGAACAAAGAAACCATGGTTGTGGTTTAGCACCCTTCTGCCCTAAGTGCGCTCCACCCAGGGTTGAGACTTTCCTCTTTGTTACTTTTTTCACCTAATTCTCAGTCTGTGGCTCTGAACATGGAAACTTGAAGTCTCGATTAGGGACACAAAAATCATAAATCCTGACAGACATCAATATACACAAGAAAAGAGCCACAGGAACTTGTTAGTGAGAAAGTGAAGTATTTTTCATTTCAGTTGACTCTGAAGTTAATTTTCTATTCACATTCAGATTGGGCAGAGGAAATCTCTTCTGAACAGCAAGTTGTGGCTCTCAGAAAAAAAGTTCAATCATGATTTGAACCACCAGGATTTTGAGGCCCTATGGGAGCCTATAGACACAGTGACTATCACAGTAGGCTTGAGCATACCAAAGGTTGTGAGGACAGGACAAGGTTCAGATCTGCTGTTGATAAAGTTCCCATGAGACATGGTCCACCTGACACCACCTAACAACAGCATTGTGCTCTATGTCTGTCTTTCTTGCTAATGGGTGGTCTATTAACCTCTCTGCTTTGCTGTAGAAAGAACGAAAGCAGAAAAGTCTTCTCTTTAGTTCACTGACTGCTTTGATTTCTCACAGGAATTTCCATGTCTGGAATGAGTGCTGGATGGCCCGAAAGGACCTTCCCCCTGGCTATGGAGGCTGGCAGGTGCTGGATGCCACACCTCAAGAGACAAGTAATGGTGAGACTCTAGAAGGAAGGCAGAACCCACCCACACAGGCACTGCCTCTGTCCCTGCCTCTTCTGGTTCTGCAGTCTCACTGAAGCTCTTCTGTTCTCCCCAGGTCTCTATTGCTGCGGTCCTGCCTCTGTCAGAGCCATCAAGGAGGGGGAGATAGATCTGAACTATGATACGCCCTTTGCCTTCTCCATGGTGAATGCGGACTGCATGTCCTGGCTTGTCCAAGCAGGGAAGGAGCAGAAACTCCACCAGGACACGAAGTCTATTGGCAATTTTATCAGCACAAAGAGCATCCAGAGTGATGAGCGGGATGATGTCACAGAGAATTACAAGTATGGAGAAGGTATGATCAAGCCAGACTCACTCAGAGGTCATATCCTGTGGGCACAGCCAGCTTGGGCAGGCCTTTGTGGAATCAGAGGCTTTCTGTGGGACAGGAAGGTAGGTTTTTTTTTTTTTTTTAAGGTAAAATCATTAAACAAGTAGTTTTGAATGATAGAATGTAAAATATTGGGGCAGGGGAAGCTGACATTTGGCTCAATATATGCCCCTAACAATGCTGCAGGGCCAAGGTAAGAGCAGATACAAGGTTTTCAGTTGATAGGTTTTAAACATCATACCTTATCAAACTGTAAAATTTTACATTATATGAGAAACCTTACCAATAAACATAACAGAGTTTCCAGGAAATTGAATTATTTTAGAATAATACACCATTATTTTTAAAATTCAAAATACTAAGAAAGGTATTTTAGCTTACAGATTCATACAACTAACTCTTATTTTTAAAAATTGGTAAATGGCTTGCTATGACAACATAAATCAGTTTCCAAGAGTGGAAAAGACTACTATCTCACAACTTTCTTGACTTCAATGTATACATAAGAAGTATAATATTATCCTAGAACCATAAAATTAACATATTCTACATATTTGATATCTGAGCATCCTGAGATCCATTTTTAGAAATTTATTTTGCAAGCCCACTGGACCAATCGGTAGCATCAGGATGGATGGTGAAGAGATTGAGATTGTTCACAGCTTCAGTTTGCTC